CCTCTGGTGAAGAGCGAGCAATTAGGGCCTGCCTGTGATATGAACACACACTGCTGATAACACACACCGATCATAACCACTGTTCAGTCAAAAGAATCAGCACATTTTGCATGCCAAACAAACATATTTAGTTTGATTTAAAAATGTAATTGAACTTATTATGACTTACTGATTATGAAGATATTATTATTTAGATAATAATTATGGTGACAGATAGGTAATGCATTTTTATTACAGTGGCTTTATATACTACTGATAAATATACTAGGGATGTAATTCTTTAATAATAATTTATTGAATCAAAATGATTATTTTATGTTATGGCTGATAAAAGATAAATAGCCAATATTAAAATTCTGTACTATTGTCCAAGTAAATAAAACATAAAAATAAACTGAAATCAATCATTTTAAAAGCAACAAGTGAATTTAAGTATAACAGCATTATAATGTACAGTATGAAAAATGGATATTCATTTGAGATTTGCCAAAGATTACAGAAGAGTGTTATTAAATTATTATTGTTTTTAAAAGTCAGCAGTAAGTGTCAGATGACAGCAAGGGTAACTTAAATCTAAAAAAATGAGCAGAACAATTAAATATCCAATATTGACTGATCAGTGTCATTTTAGTATTATATTAGAATTATAGTATATATTGATATTTAGAATTAGCTTTATGTATTTTCATTTTTAATGATTTTCCATTTAAGTTTTTTTTTAATTTTCATGGAAAGTTGTTCATCTATTTTATTTATTTCTATTATTTACATCTATATTATAATTTATTTACATTTTTTATATATATATAGACAGTATATATCATCAAACATGTGTCTAGTTCACAGTTGAGACTTAGAGGCGGATATGTAATGTCTTGCTGTTCTTGGCACCCTATCCTTATCAAAAAAAAAAAAAGGTAAAAATGCTTTACAAATCTTTCTCATTCCTGTTTTACCTTTTGTTTTATTCTGTTTTACCCTGTTTTAAATGTAGGTGTTATTTGAAGGTTGAATTGCTATGTATGTAAGGGGGCATTGATTAAAAGTATTACATGACATTTTTCTGACCCTGTTTTTTCTGTAATACATTCTATTAATTTAACATGTTAAACTGACAGCTCTAACTTAGCTGTAACACTATTGTTGATGTAAATTGTCAAAACACTAAAAGCGTTTATTTGCACGTGCACACTGACTCACACATGCACACGCATAGACCAGGCCTGGTTTTGCTTGAACAGAAACTCTAATGTAAACAGAGCTCACAGCCATCTGCCTAATGTCAGTGTGGCCAGCAGGCTCAGCCTTTCACACATACACACACACACACACACACACACACACACACACACAGCATTGTCTCTCGCCTGTCCCTTTACTTTCTCATTTCGTATTCTGTGTGCAGGAGCAAAACCATTGTTTGTCAGATCTATTGTTTTATGTCATGTAGAGCAGCACACAGTACAACATTGTCTCTGCTATCACTTCAGATAAATCCTCTGTAGTTTTCAGAACAGACATAAACTATTCAGTCAGCTATGAGAGGCTATTAGATTAATATGGCTGCTAAACCTGCCTGTTTGTAAAGTGGCAGTGAGAAATTATTTTATAGTTCATAGCTTACTCTTAATATCAAATGGTCATGGTTGATCTGTTCATTGATTGGTCAATGAGAGTAGAAGAATGCTTATTGACTGATTATTTTCCCACCATTATTAGCTCTTAATTTAGCGGCGATTGACCTCAGACTGCGCTCACGCTCCTAAAATACAGAGTTAAGGACTGAACAACTCCAAACTGAGTATAGATTATTATAGATAATAAGAAACCAAATCACCATATTCAAATAATCTTTACATCACAGGAATAAATTACATTCAAATAATATATTCAAATAGAAAACAGTTATTTTAATTTGTAATAATATTTCAGATCATTACTGTTTTAACTTTATTCTTAATCAAATAAATGCAGCCTTGGTAAATATTAGACTTTTTTCAAAAAAATGCACAGATCTGAGTATTTCTGAACATGCCTTCATTATTAGCCATCATTATTAGATCTTATCTTAAGTAGATTTGCTGCATTTGTTTTATTCTATTTATAGATTTTTGAAACCTTTTTAAATTTAACTTCTTGTGTTAAACATTTAACATTTTGGTGGTTAAGTAAAAAAAAAAAAACATTTTTTAATGCCATTTCAGTATATATTAAGACATTTTTCAAATAAAATATTGTTACATGGCTGAAAAAGTAACAAGATATAATTGTTTTAACTTTTAACATATTTCCCAGCCCTTCATGCAATAAAATATCTAAACTGTATGGAATCTACTTTAGCAATATTAATTTAACTTTTTTACCTACTATTTTGGTTATATTTTCTCAATATTGTAATTAGCTTCGCATAGCCACGAATGGTTTCTCAACAGCCACATGATGTCTACTCTGGTAATTATTTAGCATATATTTTAAGATAGGCTTTTTAGGAAATAGGCCAGCAAGTGTTTCATAGGGATTGTGCAGTGTTTCAGCCGAGTGTAATGGTGTGAACCGTGTGACCTGGAGTAACCCCCATTTCTCTCCCATCAACCCCTCCTCTCATTCACCCAAAGGAAGTTACAGTGTTGGCTCTGCTTCAGGCTCCATTTTTAGCTCTGTTCTGGCTCCCCTATTGTAAAAGTCTCTACAGGAAGTAGCCTCTCCAGGTCAGAGGTTGGCTTTTTTCCCATACTGCAGTTGAGTAAAGCCCTAGAGTACAACAGATGTCCCAGGATTCCAGAGCGCTGAGCTAAAGCCCTTTTTTGTTGAAAGGTTCAACTGATCACTAGAGAGACATTGAATGAGTCTGCTTTTCTTTTTTCTGTTCCTCTCAGCTGAGTGCAAACGTGCTGATCTTCCTATGCACCAACATCATTGGGATCTGCACCCACTACCCAGCAGAGGTCTCTCAGAGACAAGCCTTTCAGGAGACGCGAGGCTACATCCAGGCCCGACTGCACCTGCAAAGAGAAAATCAGCAGCAGGTCAGTTCAGCGCTGAGGCCATGACCTTCACTGGTACAGTTTACTAGCTACACTACTGTTCAAAAGTTTTTTTTTTGTTTTTTTTTTTAGAAATTAGTACTTTTATTCAACAAAGGTGCATTAAATTGATCAAAAGTGACAGTAAAGTCATTTATCATTTTTACAAAAGATTAAAAATTTTTAAACAAAAAAAATAAGTTTCAACAAATTCTGAATATATATTCATCCATTGTAGGGGTCTCATAATATATTGTATTGATGATCAATTTTTTACATTTTTTATATTGATATCATGTTAAAGAGATAGTTCACCCAATGTTTATCTGCTTACCCCCAGGGCATCCAAGATGTAGGTGACTTTGTTTCTTCAGTAGAACACAAACAAAGATTTTTAACACAAACCGTTGCATTCTGTCAGACTTATAATGGAGGTGAATGGGAATCACGGCTTTGAGAGTAAAAAAAAAACATACACAAACAAAACCAAATTAAACCCTGCGGCTCGTCACGATACACTGATGTGTAAAGACACAAAACGATCGGTCTGTGCAAGAAACTAAACAGTATTTATATAGTTTTTTACCTCTGATTCACGCAATGTCCGAACTGTTCGAACTGTCCTGAGCGGCGGCGCGTCCTCCTGAGCGTGTTCTCAACAGCAGGTGCGTGAGGTGTCTTCTTCTTGCTTTACAGCGGATCGCAGACTTATAAGTGCATTACTGCCACCTATCTCTCAAATGGACTATTGACACTCTATCTACAATCTCAATTAGGAGTATCAGTGGTCCATTTGAGAGATTGGTGGCGGTAATGCACTTATAAGTCTGCGATCCGCCGTAAAGCAAGAAGAAGAAGACGCGTCACGTCTGCTGTTGAGAACGCGCTCAGGAGGACGCGCTCAGGACAGTTCGGACATTGCGTGAATCAGAGGTAAAAAAATATTATATATTAACTGAAATACTGTTCAGTTTCTTGCACAGACCGATCGTTTTGTGTCTTTACACATCAGTGTATCGTGACGAGCCGCAGGGTTTAATTTGGTTTTGTTTGTGTATGTTTTTTTTTTACTCTCAAAGCCGTGATTCCCATTCACCTCCATTATAAGACTGACAGAATGCAACGGTTTGTGTTAAAAATCTTTGTTTGTGTTCTACTGAAGAAACAAAGTCACCTACATCTTGGATGCCCTGGGGGTAAGCAGATAAACATCACATTTTCATTTTTGGGTGAACTATCAGCCAATACTGCACATATCATGATAATACTGTAAATAATCCATCTGGTTGACACTCCAACAAAGTAGGTGACAGTATTGCTGAAAATAACAGAACAGAAAAAACAATGCAGTATGTGGCTACTAATGCTGCACAAAATCATAAAAGTAAAATGTAAAAAAAATAAATTTAAAAAATCTTTATTTTTTTTGCAAATTTTTTTTAATTAATCACGATCAATCATTAAAGTTTAAATATACAATTTTATACAAATATAAAATATACTCTTATATTGCAATAGTTTCACATTCAATCTTCAAATTGATGTAGAAACAACATAAAGATTTTTTATGACTGATACCAATACTACTGATGTCTCTAGGAAATTATTTTTTTCCTAATATTTAACCATCGGCTATTGCCATTCAACATTACAGTATAATTGAGAGCTAGGGCTGGACGATATGGCCAAAATTGATATCACGATATATTTCTTAATTTCGGTCGATACAATAAAATTCCGATATCGATATGAACACTATTTATCTGAAATAGAAATCTTTTGTAACATTATAAATGCCTTTATCATCACTTTTGATCAATTTTAAGCATCCTTTCTAAATAAAAGTATTAATTTCTATAATTTCTTTCCCAAAAAAATAATAAAAATTATACTGACTCCAAGCTTTTGAATGGAATAGTGTATGTTACAAAAGCTTTTTATTTCAGATAAATCCTGATCTTTGGATCTTTCTTTTCATCAAAGAATCCTGAAAAAAAATGTACTCAACTGTTTTAAATATTGATAATCAGTAAATCAGCATATTAGAATGACTTCTGAAGGATCATGTGACACTGAAGACTGGAGTACTGATGCTGAAAATGTACCTATGTGTGATCACAGGAATAAATTACATTCATCTATTCAAATAGAAAGCAATTTTAAATAGTAAAAATATTTCAACATTTTACTGGTTTTGCTGTACTTTGGATCAAATAAATGCTGCCTTGGTGAGCAGAAGAGAATTCTTAAAAAAAAAAAACATTAAAAATCTTACTGTTCAAAAACTTTTGACTGGTAGTGTAGGCTGATTATTCTTATAGATTGAAACAAATGTGCTTCAGCCAGAAAAAAGGGTATGAAAATTGCTCCGAGCTGCTGCAGAAAACAAAAAAATTGAACAACAACAAAAACTGGAAATGTTGCTGGAGACGGGCTTGTTGAAAATGCAAACTGATTCTCCGCCAGCAGGAGGCGCTTTTAGAGTGATAAAACTAGCGGTTTCCCCAGTAATGGCTGTAATCAAAGCAGCTCCGCTCATGAACGCTACTTTATCAGATCAAATGAAAATGCCACCGAAACTTTTCTGAAGACAGTCGGTTCCCTTCAGAGATACATTCATATAAAACACCCGTGCCGCGTTATGATTTTGAAACGTGCAGTGCTCATGTTTATTCAATGAAGTCAAACGGCACAAATACATCAATGTATGGGAAACACTGGTAATGTACAGTATATCGGAAATGTGTTTAAAAATCATATCACCGTTATTGAAAAAAATTATATCGCGATACATATTGATATTGAATTATTGTCCAGCCCTATTGAGAGCTATCCAGTTTAACATTTATTAGACTTTAAAAAATAACTTCTAATTTAAGTGAACTTATAACAATCTTCACATAAACCCATTATAATAAATGTCATATTTACCTGTGCCCTTCAGCAACTAGGAAATATACAGAAATTGAATAAAGTTATCAAACAATTAGATATAGAGGAATCCTTAAAGCTACAAAAGTTATTGATTTCCTCTCTTTTGTTCTTTGATTTACAGACATCACAGCAACTGGGTTATTAGGTTATTTGGCTGCTATTACTTTAAGAGCTGCTGCTGAACGTGCCGTGGATCTGACACACGTGCTTATAGTTTAATTCAAGTTTTAATATGAAATGATACAGGCTACAGCGCACGCTGCTGTATTTGTGCGAGCAATTGAAGAGCACGCGCTGTGAGCACAGTGTAACCCTAGCTTCGCCCCTGCGTTAACAGCATAAAATATTTTTAATGTCGTTAAACTGGAAAAATTAATCGCCTATGTTAGCACGCTAATTTTAACAGCACTAATATAATATATATATAGAGGAATGCTATCCCTTTTTCCAGCTCATGAACACTTATAATAAAATGAACAATATTTTGTGTTGTTGTGCATGCCAGTATAGTTATGGTTATAGTTATTGTTATTAGTGTGAACAGTCCTATACGCTTACTGTCTCGTGTGTGTTTTCTTTATGTTTTCATGTTTTGAGTTCATGTCTTTTATGATGCCATCATGTCTTTTATTTTGAAGGTTAGTCTTATCCATAACACATGTAACACATGTATTGCTCATTGTTAGTTTGTTATTTTTATTTCTATAGATATTGCAATTATGCTGTTATCTTTAATTATTTTGGCCATGATAAACATGTAGTTAACATCTGATATCGTGACAGTCATAACTAAATTAAATATGAACATTTTGTGATTCCCAATCAACAAAATTCCATAAAATTCCACCTTTGACACTCAGAGAACTCTGTTGAATTTCATAAAATCTTGTCTCATGCGATTAAATGAAATTCTATTAAATTCTCATCCCATTCTATGAAAATTAAATGGCTACTGTGCATATTTTCAACACATTGTCAGCTGAATGTTTGACACCAAGGTGTACACCAAACAGATGGTTCTTTCACAAAATATGGCATCTGCTCTGAATCTATTGAAGGTTCAGTTCATTTTGTTAAATGCCATTCTATTCTATGTATATAAATCTAATAGAGATGTAATAAAATAAACACTTGTCAGTGGACAAGCCAACAGAATATATGCACTAGGATGCTGACGTTTAACAAAGAACAACTACATAAAGATAGGGTGTTTGATCTTCAGTGAGAAGAATTGCATGCTAATCTTTCTTTCTTTCTCACACACATTCCCTCTCTCCTCTCTACAATTTTCAGGAACGCCTGTTGCTGTCTGTTTTGCCAAGACATGTTGCCATGGAAATGAAGGCTGACATCAATGCTAAAAAAGAAGACATGATGTTTCACAAGATCTACATCCAGAAGCACGACAATGTCAGGTGAGCATTGCTGTTATGCGTCAAACCCTGCCACATTAACTATGAATGGATTAGATCATGAAAAGCAATCTAATCAAGTGATCTAAGAATATTTAGGATATTATTGGCTTCATAGTATTTTTCCCACCCGCATGGCCTTAATTACATACACACAAAAGACAAGTTTCACTATATTTTCACGTGAGATTCTGAATTATTCTTAATTGACTGACCATTATTTTATTTAGAAAGTAAATAGTCCGTTTTTACATCTGTAAACTTCATATGGAATAATAATTTGTCTCAATAATTGTTCTCTTTTTTTTTTTGAAGCACGTTTACTACCTGCCGCCCTGTTGAAAAAAACAGCATATGCTGGTTAGGTATGTTTTGATGCTGGGATGCTGGTTTAAGCTGGTCCTTTGCTAGTTTAAGCTGGTCCTTTGCTGGTTTATGCTGGTCCTTTACCAGCACATGACCAGCATAAACCAGCATAGGACCAGCAAAGGACCAGCATAAACCAGCATAGGACCAGCATAAACCAGCAAAGGACCAGCTTAAACTAGCATCCCAGCGTCAAAACATACCTAACCAGCATATGCTGTTTTTTTCAACAGGGCGCTCCTTTGACTATCAGCATTAGCTTTTAACTTTTAGTTCACCTGCTTTTTATCATCTCCTGTGGCCGTGTGGCCCTTTCTTTGTTTATTTTTCACTCTTTACATTGATCTCTCCTGCCTCTTTCACTCTTTTCTTCTTTGCTTTAGCTCTGGGAGCTCGTAATAGGAGCAGTGGGGCTTTTCTTTTGAAATGTGGTCAGCTAATTATGGTGAGAGAGGGAATAGTTAATTATCAGTCACTAGACTAGCGCTAACCCCAGAAGATACTGAAATGAAGCCACGATTCAATTAAAGCGCTCCACAGCGCCTGCTCTCACATAGCCTCAGAGTGAATTTCCCCTCAGCTCAAGGGATTCACACATTCATACTGTATACTTTTCTACCTAGTTGTTATGGTATTGACCTCTGTGATTCCAAACATTAAAATTAAAGCTTTTTTTTAATCTGTCTTAATTCATTTTGTTTTATTGGCATTAAATTTTAGTAGTGCTGTCAAATGAGTAATCGCGATTAATCGCAACTAAAATAAAAGTTTTTGTTTACACAGTACATGTGTGTGTACTGTGTATATTTATTATGCATATATAAATACACACCCATGCATGTATATATTTAAGAAAAATATGTTACGCTTATATAGTAAATATATTTATATATAATATAAATTATATGAATATAAATATAGACATGTAAATATTTCAAAATGTATACTGTATGTGAGTGTATTTATATATACATAATAAATATACACAGTATACACAGATTTATAATGTAAATAAAAACTCATTTCGAATGTGATTAATCATGATTAATCGTTTGACAGCACTACATTTTAGTTAACAACAGACTGATGAATATTATAAAAGACAAAGCAACAATTCATACAGTTTAAATCTCTCTCTCTCTCTCTCTCTCTCTCTCTCTGTGTCTTTGTCAGTATTTTGTTTGCAGACATCGAGGGTTTCACTAGTCTGGCGTCGCAGTGCACTGCTCAGGAGCTGGTCATGACTCTAAACGAGCTGTTTGCCCGCTTTGACAAGCTGGCTTCGGTGAGCACATCTATTAACAAATGCCTAAAAGATGCTGGATTATTGTTGCAGCATTGTCTGTTTACTATGGTGACAACATGAAGTCTGTGTTAAATAAATTGTTGAGATTGCATGATATTAGTTCAGCGTTACAAATACAGTTTTCACGACTACATTTTAGTTAACAACAGACTGATGAATATTATAAAAGACAAAGCAACAATTCATACAGTTTAAATCTCTCTCTCTCTCTCTCTCTCTCTGTGTGTCTTTGTCAGTATTTTGTTTGCAGACATCGAGGGTTTCACTAGTCTGGCGTCGCAGTGCACTGCTCAGGAGCTGGTCATGACTCTAAACGAGCTGTTTGCCCGCTTTGACAAGCTGGCTTCGGTGAGCACATCTATTAACAAATGCCTAAAAGATGCTGGATTATTGTTGCAGCATTGTCTGTTTACTATGGTGACAACATGAAGTCTGTGTTAAATAAATTGTTGAGATTGCATGATATTAGTTCAGCGTTACAAATACAGTTTTCACGTTTTCATTCAAATACAACATGATTCAATATATATAAAACATGAAATACAGTACTGTTTTGTGAACATGACTTTAGTAAATATATCAGGATTCTTTCTATTCATCAGAGAATCCTAAAAAAGTATTATGGTTTCCACAAAAATATTAGGCAGCACAACTGTTTTCATCATTGATAATAATGAGAAATGTTTCTTGAGCAGCAAATCAGCATATTAGAGTGATTTCTGAAGGGTCATGTGACACTGAAGACCGGAGTAATGATGCTGAATATTCTGATTTACTGTACAGGTGCGTCTCAATAAATTAGAATGCCGTGGAAAAGTTCATTTATTTCAGTAATTCAACTCAAATTGTGAAACTCGTGTATTAAATAAATTCAATGCACACAGACTGAAGTAGTTTAAGTCTTTGGTTATTTTAATTGTGATGATTTTAGCTCACATTTAACAAAAACCCACTAATTCACTATCTCATCAAATTAGAATATGGTGACATGCCAGCTAATCAACTCAAAACACCTGCAAAGGTTTCCTGAGCCTTCAAAATGGTCTCTCAGTTTGGTTCACTAGGCTACACAATCATGCGAATTGAGGCAGTAATTAAAGCAAAAGGAGCCCCTACCAAGTATTGAGTACATGTACAGTAAATTAACATACTTTCCAGAAGGCCAACAATTCACTAAAAATGTTTTTTTTTATTGGTCTTATGAATTATTCTAATTTGTTGAGATAGTGAATTGGTGGGTTTTTGTTAAATGTGAGCCAAAATCATCACAATTAAAAGAACCAAAGACTTAAACTACTTCAGTCTGTGTCCATTGAATTTATTTAATACACGAGTTTCACAATTTGAGTTGAATTATTGAAATAAATGAACTTTTCCACGATATTCTAATTTATTGAGATGCACCTGTACATCACAGGAATAAATACATAAAATATATTCAATATGACTGTTTTACTGTATTTTAATCAAATAAATGCAACTTTGGATTTCTTTCAAAAACATTAAAAAAAATGTACTGAGCTCAAACTTTTGAACGGTAGTGTAAATATAAAAAAATACTTAATTGGTTTGATTTTGTACTTTCTAGTCAACTAAAATGTTATTGTAATTAACTAATCTTATATGACAGTCAGAGTAAAATTGACTAGACTGTTTTTTGATGTCCCCTTATAATGTTATCAAGATTTTTACAAAAAAAAAAATATATATATATATACAATAGGCTATTTTCTGTTTTTAACCCCCCACATCAGAACGCTCTGTTTGAATAGGCGTGGCGGATTGTAGACTCTGAAGTAAACGCCCACTGCTATGATTGGCTAATAACTTTGTATGTTTGACAGCCTACATTCCTCATAGATAGACGCTGCTGTGATTTAGGTTAAAAAAGCATAAATTATCAGTACATATCAAACAATCTGTAAGAACTTCTTAGAAGTTCTTACAATCTGTCTCTTCTTAGAAGAGACAAAGCAATGGTGATCACATAATGAAAACAGTTACTCACACTTGTGTGGTGTGACGTTATGGTCGTAGCATTTCTCCAACCATTGAATCATTCACTGATTAGTTTAAAAACTCTTATTCATTCAGGAATGAAACACTACTTCATGTTGCTCTGCTTTGACTTCTTTTAAGACCTGTTACTCGCTGTAATGTACGTCCATTGTCAAATCCATTGTCATATATTTCGGTCTGATGAATTTTTATCAGTATTGACACTCGTTTACACATGGTGTCAGCTGCACACACAAAAATCACACACTCTGTCTGTATCACACTCTAAGCAGAATGACTACCCTCTTTTTACACCTCAGCGTGAAGCTGCCATCTCCTCAGCTTTAACTTCTGTTCCCTTTTGTGTGTGTGTGTGTGTGTGTGTGTGTGTGTGCGCAGGAGAACCACTGCTTACGGATCAAGATCCTGGGGGATTGTTACTACTGTGTGTCAGGGTTACCTGAGCCCAGAGCGGACCACGCTCACTGCTGCGTGGAAATGGGGGTGGACATGATTGAAGCCATTTCGTAAGTCTCAGTTCATCTGAACATCAACCTTTGTGAGATTTATTTCATAACATAGGTTAAATTATCAAATTTTTGATCTGTGAATTTAATGTTGGATATTAAATGTTTTATGCCTATCTGTTTATGAGACATTTGTGAAGAAAACACATATAGATTTGTATGGTAATTAATATTATTTTTATATTAACTTTTAAAGTTAAAGTGAGACACTGACAGTTGGGGCAAATGGCCAGTGTTTTTTATTATTTAATGTTATGGTTCATATTATTTTATAATAGTTATTGTTTAATAATAAGTATTTATTATTATTTAATAATTCCATGAATTGGATGTAAATTCATAGACTTATTTAATGCAGCCAGTGTTATTGTTATTATTTAAATTTTTGTTAATTGAAATAAAGCAAAAATTAAATACTAATATTAGATGAAAATCTTAAAGGGATAGTTCACCAAAAAATGAAAATTCTGTCATTAATTACTTACCCTCATGTCGTTCCAAACCCGTAAGACCTTCGTTCATCAGAACAAAAAATAAGATATTTTTGATGAAATCCGAGAGCTCTCAGACCCTCCATAGACCGCAAGGGAACTACCACGATCAAGGCACAGAAACGTAGCAAGGACATCATTATAATAGTCTGTGACATCAGTGGTTTTAATTTTATGAAGCTATGAGAATACTTTTTGTGTGCAAAGAAAAAAAAAACAACGACTTTATTCAACAATTCTTCTCCTCCTTTTTGGAGAGTACCACGATTAGAAAAATTAAAAATGAACAACTAACTAAAATAATGTAACAACTGAAATAACTAAAAAAAAGTTAATGTACTAAAATTTCAAAACTAAAAATGAAAACTAAACAAAATAAAACAAATAAAAATGACAAAAGCACATTCAATTACTAAAAGAAACTAAATGTACAATCAAAAACTGCTAATTAAAGCTAATATAGAATACTTGTATGTAAAAAATAATACTAAAGTAACACTGATTGCAGCATGTGATTTATTAATAACATGTTTATGTTTGTGTCGCAGATTGGTGCGAGAGGTCACAGGGGTCAATGTAAACATGCGGGTCGGGATCCACAGTGGTCGTGTGCACTGTGGAGTTCTTGGATTGAGAAAGTGGCAATTCGACGTGTGGTCCAACGACGTGACGCTGGCCAACCACATGGAGGCTGGAGGCAAAGCCGGGTGAGAGTCAGACATGTACACATAGCTATACATAACACTGGAGAGACAGTTTAGTAACCATAACATTCATGCAACATCATTACTGAAACTCATTTTTTCCTCAGGAGGATCCATATCACTAAAGCTACTCTGCAGTACCTGAATGGAGACTATGAGGTGGAGCCAGGTTTTGGAGGGGAGAGAAACGCCTACCTGAAAGAGAACAGCATTGAGACCTTCCTAGTGTTGGGCTGCAGTCAAAAGCGGGTTAGACACGTCATTTTGTGCTGAGTTCATGCTACAACATTTTTATAACTATAACTGTGCTCTCTCTTTCTCTCTCTCTCTCTATATATATATATATATATATACACATATATATATATTTTTTATGTATCATTTTTAAAACAAGACTGGTCAAGAAAACGATTTTTGCTGTGTAGAAATTTCATTAAAGGGGTCATATGATGCGATTTAAATTTTTCCTTTCTCTTTGGAGTGTTACAAGCTCTTGGTGCATAAAGAAGATCTGTAAAGTTGCAAAGACTAAAGTCTCAAATAGATATTCTTTATAAAAGTTAAGAGTCAGCCACACCTACCTAAAACGGCTCGTTCTAACACACCCCAACATACCTACGTCGCTCTGTGGGAAGATTTGCATAACGCCGCCCAAATGTTCACACAAAGAAAGAAGGCGTAACTTTTATTCTCGCTGTAGTATTGTTGTTGCCGCCGCAATGTCGTGAAGGGCTGTGTGTTTCGTTGTGAAAGCGAAACTACTTTGTTTGGTCTTCCAAAAGAGGACGATATCGCTTCGTCATGCCTGGAGCTGATCCATGCTGGTCGCTAAGGAAATACTTCAACTTTGCGCTGTGGATCGCCGGATCGGCTTTCACCGTGGACGAAGCGGAGTCTAGCCCGGGGTCGTCTCATGTGGTTGCCGCAAGTCCTCCGGATGCTCCTTCGTCAAATCCGCCGGCCGCGCCGTTCTCAAGCCCACCGGCCTCTGCTCACTCTAGCCCTCAGGCCGTTCCTCATTCCAGCCCCCGGCCTCTGCTCACTCTAGCCCCCGGCCTCTGCTCACTCAAGGCCGTGGTGTGTGACGGTGTTTCGTGGTGAAAGTGAAACTACTTTGTTTGGTCTTCCAAAAGAAGACACTGTCACGGCAGAGAAGAGTCAGGATCCAAGTGCGAGTGCAAAGGTAAGGTTTATTTAGTAATCACAATAACGGAGACACAAGGTGATAATCCTCGGGTCCTGGTCAGAATCAGAGCTCCACTGAGAATCCCTTCAAGCACTGTGTTGACCAAACCAAGGAGAAGGCTGAAGAAGTTGGACAGTTCCAACTTTGGAAGGACAGTCTGGCGCTTCTGACTCACAATGCAATGCAACGCGTAAAAAGACAGTATAAGTCATTATTGTGAAAGTGAGTGACGTGACATGTGGCCAAGTATGGTGACCCATACTCGGAATTAGTGCTGTGCATTTACCCATCCAAAGTGCACACACACACAGCAGTGAACACACACACACACACCGTGAACACACAGCAGTGGGCAGCCATTTATGCTGCGGCATGGTATTGAAGGTGGGAGAGAGCGCGCTGTACATTCACTCCCCCCACCTACAATCCCTGCCTGTACGAGACTCGAACCCACAACCTTTGGGTTATGAGTCCGACTCTAATCATTAGGCCACGATTTCCCCATTATAATCAGTAATTATGTCCCCACTGGATGCAACAAATGCCTCGTTTGTAATGGGTTTTATTGTTTTTGTCTTGTCGCGCCGTGACACAGGGAATCACAGTATGATAAGTGTAACATTTACGTCACACGCTTGAGGTATTCGGCCAATCACAATGCACTGGATAGCTGGCCAATCAGAGCACACCTCGCTTTTCAGACCGATGAGCTTTGTAAAAATCGACGCGTTTCAGAAAGGCGGGGCACAGAGGAGAAACAATAATGTACAGTATGTGGAAAATGTGTGTTTTTGAACCTTAAACCGCATAAACACATTGCATTACACCAAATACACAACATAATTTTTAGCAGCATCATATGACCCCTTTAAATATAATGAGATGATGCCAAGTCAAAATTACTGCGCTGCTCTAAAAAGTGTAATTTATCACAAAATCTCAAATTAAATTTATATATTTTTATACAGTACTGTAATTTAGACATTTAATAATTATCTGGCATAACATAAAAACATTTTAAAATGTTTTTATTTAGTATTTAGCCTTATTTAGTCTCTTTTTAATCTATTTAGACTAAAAAGTCTAATTTTAATATTGGCTGTTATTTGTTAAATTATCGGTTATCTAGCATATGAAAATCATTTTACTGTTTTTATTTACTCTTTAGCCTTTTTTAGTCTTTATTCTTTCATTTTTCTCATGGGTTTTATCCTGAAAATAGAATTTTAATATTGGCTGTTTATTGGTTATCTGCCATTTATCAGTTACTGTATATGGCATAACAGAACATGAAAATAATTTAATATCAATGCATCCCTAATTTTAATGCTTCTCTTTTATTCAAGATCCTTGAGCACAAAACTTTTCATTTGCCCTTGACTGTTTCAGAAAGAGGAGAAGGCCATGATGGCTAAGATGCAGCGCACGCGGACGAACTCTAACGAGGGTCTGGTACCGCGATGGGTGCCTGACAGATCCTTCTCCAGGACTAAAGACTCCAAAGTCTTCAGACAGATGGTGAGACCCCACATGACCTGTCGGTCAATCTGTCACCCACTCCCTGTGACACTCGCCTGACCTCTCTCTCCTGTTCCTTCAGCCGATTTCTGCCTTTACATGCTTCTTTCAGTCCTCCTACATTACTCTCGGATCTTTCTAATCTTCATTTGTTTCTTCTCTTCACTCAGGGCATTAATGAATCATCCAGCAAAGACAAGTGAGTGTTTTTTCTTAGATTTAAGAGAGTAAATGCAGTGGGGGGGAAAAGGAATATAAAAGGTACAAATAAAAATGTGCTTTTCTAACTGTTCTTCTGCTCACAAATGCAGCCGTGGTGCTCAGGAGGCGCTGAACCCCGAGGACGAGGTGGACGAGTTTTTGGGCCGTGCCATTGACGCTCGCAGTATCGACCAGCTCCGCAAAGACCACGTGAAGAAGTTCCTCCTCACCTTCCAAACCTCCAGCCTGGAGAAAAAGGTCAGACTCGAAGACACTGGCTGAGTTCCAGCCTCCCGTCCAGATCTCCCCACCCTTTCCAGTTTAATTTAGTAGTGCTGATCGTCTAACAGGATGGATGAGATCATGAGAGATCAAATGTCCTCCAATTTCCTGTTTGGTATTTAAGAAGAAGAGAAGTAGATTGAATTCTTCTGAGTTGTTTTGAGCAATTTTTAACATGTCATTAGGTTAACAGGATCTTCTGGGTGGTTGTTGGTCATTAGCAATCAACAATAACTCACGCAACATTCATATTTGGCACAGATTGGTAAATCAACATATTTTAATGATATTTTATATTTTGGTCTTGTTTCTAGTACGCTAAGAAAGTAGATGATCGTTTCGGCGGTTATGTGGCCTGTTCGCTGCTGGTCTTCTGTTTCATCTCTTTTATCCAGATCGTCGTATTCCCTCAGTGAGTGATAAACACACACACACACACTTACACACACACTCACTTGTTTACTTTAAGGGATAGTTCACTTGAAAATGAAAATTCGGTCATCATTTACTCACACTCAAGTTTTTCCAAATCTGTACGAGTTGACGGTAGCCATTAATTTCCATTGTGTATATTTTTCCATGCTATTGAAGTCTGTGACTATCAACTGTTTGGTCACCAACATTCTTCAAAATATCGTCTTTTGCATTCAACAGAAGAAAGAAACTCACGTTTGGAACAACTTGAGTGTAAATTTTGACAGAATTTTCATTTTTGGGTGAACTGTCCCTTAAAATGGGGACATTCTTTAGCCTTGTTTTGTTTTTGTTTACAGCTAGTTATAAATACTATAACATAACCCTAACCCACACTCTAAAGATGGCGGTCGTGTTTACTGTTTCTCTGCTAAATTCTGTGAGTGAAATCTAGTCATTCCAATAGTTTCGTGTGAGGGCAAAAAAGTTCCTCACAGATTTCGCTTGTGTTCTAGATTCACATATTTGCCTTGCTGACCAACAGAAAGCTGCTTGGTTATGAAGTGACTTTACTGTGAGCATTGCTTCATGCATACGCTATTGACAATGGACACTGGACCTGTTTGTACAATGCTAATAGCTAATGCGACTACACCTTAATCCTAACAGAAAACTTTCTGCATTATTACAATTGAAAAAAAAAAAAACACGTTCATTTTTATATTGCTTTTTTTTTTTGAGGCATCCCCAAAAGAAGATTTTGTCAGGTTTAGCTCACTTCTGTACAAATTTGTCCCTAATATATGGCTAAGTACATACAGATACACACACACTCACACACTTAACATGAATCTGAAACCTCCTGTGTGTTTTGCAGTACTCTGGTCATGCTGGGAATATACATCAGTATCTTCATCATTCTTGCCAACATCCTCTTCATCTGTGCCATTTACTCCTGCGTGAAGGTAAGCTACGTCTAATTATGCTCTTTTTCATTCTTTTGCATTTTCTTTTGTACTAAAGTGTACAATTGGCCTTTCTTTCACTCTGTCTTGCAGCTCTTCCCTGCTGCTATGCAGACTGTGTCTAAGAAGATTGTTCAGTCTCGCACCAACAGCACACTGGTGGGAGTTTTCACCATCATCCTCGTCTTCATCTCTGCCTTTGTCAATATGGTATGCAGAGCTGCCAAATCACTTCACACAACATTAGTGTGTCTAACACTTTAGCTAACAATCTTATTTTCTTCCAAAGAGACTGTATGGTCACAAATGTTAATTAAAATACCAATTCTGTCATCATTCACTCACCCGTATGTCGATCCAAACGTGTATGACTTTCTTTCGTCTACAGAACACAACATTTGCCAAAATGTCCTGAGTGTTGTAATCCGTACAATAAAAATAAACTCCTGTATGGATTGTCAAACTCCAAAAATGGTAGAAAAGCATTGGAATATTGCAGAGTGTTTATTTTGAGGTGAACTATCCATTTAAATGAATAGTTCAACCAAAAATGACAACTTTCATCCCTTTAAGATGTAGATGTTTCTTCATCAGAACAGATTTGGAGGAATTTATCATTACATCACTTGCTCATCAATGGATGCTCTGCAGTGAATGGGTGCCGTCAGAATGAGAGTCCAAACAGCTGATAAAAACATCACAATAATCCACAAGTAATCCACACAACTCAAGTCTGTCAATTAACACACTGTGAAGCGAAAAGCTGTGTGTTTGTAAGAAACAAATCCACCATTAAAATGTTTTGACTTTAAACCATCACTTCTATGCAAAATACAAGTCCATATTTCATAATATCGAAACCTCGAAACCCACCAATGTATTTGATTAGAACTGATTTAGACTGTTTTCACTTGTAAATGGTGCTTGATCTGTGCATATTTCTCTCCTGTTTCAGCCGAGATTACTTTTTCACTGAAGAAAGCAATAATAATGTTAGCCGAAAACAACGGTTATAGTTAAAAATGCATTAAAAGGTTACTCCACCCCAAAATGAAAATTCTGTCATTAATTACACCCTCATGTCGTTCCAAACCCGTAAGACCTCCGTTCATCTTCAGAACACAAATTAAGACATTTTTGATGCATTCTGAGAGCTCTCTGACCCTCCATAGACAGCAATGTAATTACCACGATCAAGGTCCAGAAACGTAGCAAGGAGATCGGTAAAAAAAAATCCATGTGACATCAGGGGTTCAACCGTAATTTTACGAAGCTACGTGAATACTTTTTGTACTCAAAGAAAACAAAAAGAACGACTTTATTCAACAATTCGTCTCCTCCGCGTCACCGTAGCGCTATTTTGGAGAGTATCCACTGAACGCAAACAGCGTATGCTATTCTGTGTCAGCTGCGTCACGCGGATACGTTGTTTTCATTCAAATCAAAGCATAAATAAACGTAGAAAATGTATGACGCGGAGGAGACAAATCCAAAAAAAACAAACGGCTGTTTTTATCAGCTGTTTGGACTCTCATTCTGACGGCACCCATTCACTGCAGAGGATCCATTGATGAGCAAGTGATGTAATGATACATTTCTCCAAATCTTTTCTGATATGTAGAAGAAAATCTGATTATGTATTTTGGAGCCTGAGTGTATGTTTTGTGTTTCCTGCAGTTTTCCTGTGATACACGGAAACTTGTGGACTGTGTAGCGGAGCAATTTAACTGGTCGTCAGAAATGGTGACTCCCTGTGTGATTCACAACTTGTCTCGCTCTGCAGCCGACGGCCTGAATATCTGTCCCAGCAACACTCCCTCCTGCCCCTTCCCTGAGGTAAAACGTGTGTATAGTCACACTAAGATTAAAACAATGTTCCAAATGAAACCGGATTCATGTTTTCTCCCTTATGCCTCTTTCAGTATTTCAGCTACAGTGTGCTGCTGACCCTGTTGGCCTGCTCAGTGTTCCTGCAGATCAGTAGTATAGGGAAGCTGGCTTTAATGCTGCTCATCCAGCTCACTTTCCTGCTGCTTGTGGAGTGGCCAGAGGTGGCGCTGTTTGACAATGCAGACCTCTTCGTTACTGCCAATGCCCTGTGAGTACCGCTGCCAGCCTCTAGAGGGCGTCAGTACAGCTCAAACACCACAGACAGAAGTGGCTTTGTAGCGTCTTTGTTTAGATGATAATATGAGCCATAATACCAGCTGATCTGTGGCCTGTTGTTGGTGATTATATTCAATAATATAATGACATTTTATTACAATAATTTAGTATTAACATATTAAATACTATGGGTTGCAACAATGTTAATTAAATATAATGTATATGCTATTATATTATGATTATTTGATATTTTGAATTAGTTTTATTTTTATATTTTCAGTTTAAGTTTTAGTAGTCTATCTATCTATCTATATATCATTAGCAGCTTTATTTCAGTTAACGAGAATTATTTTTAATCATTTAAAGTTTTTTTCAGTTAAAACTTGTTTGCGATATTGATTATAACATATATGAAATAATATAAAAATAATAAAATGCAATAAAAGTAATATAAAAAATATATTAAAGTATCTCTGATTTGAATATAGTTATTTGTGCTATAAATAAATGCTGTAAGATTTAAATGTTCTTGTGACGTTAACCTCTAAACAACATTTATGTTGTGTTTTTTTTGTGTGTTTTCAATGAAACTCTGCAATGGTGAGACTTCAGTTCATCTCTTATGCTTCCCATTATTCGTCATTTTTAATTTGTTGTTGTTATAAATGCAAAAATGTTTAATCTTCTTGGTTTTTCCACAGGTCCAGTCTCAATACAACTACTGAGCAGTGGTATGTGCAGTTAATACAGTCTTTGTTTCCATGTCTTCATCATTTTATTGTACACAATTGTATTTTTAATAATAATAAATACATTTATAATATTAGACAAAAAAATCTGAAATGATGCCATGGCAACTAACTGAAATAAAATAAGTAAAATAAAATTGAAATTGAAATGAAAATAAATTACAGCTAAATAGAAATAAAAAATACATAAAAATAAAAGCAAATTCACAATATTAATAAATACTATATTTTAGTATATAAATATATAGTATACTATAATATATAGTATGGTATATAGTATATAAATAATACTAAAATATACTGGTCACACTACATGGCGTCACATGACGTTAAATTACCATTTGTTTTTTACTTTTTGAAACATGAATACTAAGGGTACATTTCTAAATTGGCATATGCATGTGTGTGTGCAGGACTGAACATTGGGCCAGTGGTTGCTGGAGTTATTGGCGCCAGGAAGCCACAGTATGATATCTGGGGAAACACAGTAAACGTGGCCAGTCGGATGGACAGTACAGGGGTCCCAGACCATATTCAGGTAAACCTTCATGCCTGTAGATGCCTTAGTCATAATGAGCAAGTCGTTTCGAAGGGATTTTCTGATGTTTTACTGGATGTCTTGCAGGTGACCACAGACCTGCACCAGTTGTTGGCCAGTAAAGGTTACAAGCTGGAGTGTCGAGGGGTCGTAAAGGTGAAAGGCAAGGGTGAGATGACCACTTACTTCCTGAACGACGGACCTCCCAACAGTTAGCAGCGCACTAGAGTTCCTTTGAATTCCCACAATTCCCCAGAGAGGAGGATTTCTAGAGGCAAGCAGAAGACAAACAAGTAGCCATCGCCATCACTTGAAGAAAAAACAAAGGAAAAAAAAAACAAAGCAGACTCCAGACTGGAGAGTCGTGGCACTCGTGGATATGGCTGTGCATTTTGAAGGACGATTGTTTTTAAGCCTCTCCCTCAGGCTGCTTGAAAGATGCAAAGTCTGTTTATTTAATAAAGGCCTTTATTTGCCGAAGAAAAACGCTGTACATAAGGCATTTTCTCCAGTTTTATTTTTGTGTGACATTTTTTTTTTCCCTCTGTTATTTTTTATTTCAGGAGAATATAAATACAGGTACTAATGTTTTGTTCGGAATTCCTTATTTATTTTGATCTTGATGTTTTGTGCAAAAAGTCCTTTATGGAACAAGTGTGAAAAACGCATACACATTTATACCGTACATAAACACGTACGCTCGTATATCTGTGTGTGTGTGTACGAATACAGTATCTGTATAAATTAAGAAGAGAACTATTGACCAAAGACCAAAGTATTTAATAGAAAAGAAGTCGTCAAAACGTTTGCGGAAGTTTTGAATGTTATGAAATGCTCTGACGTCCTCACCCCTCGATTTAATTCCTGTTTTTTTATGATGTTTTATCGTTTAAAGTAAATTACACTGATTGATTGACCAGCAATGCGGGTGACTGGCAGAGCGTTGTTCACCAGATCATATGAAGGACTGAATGATTTATTTAAAGTCATGCTTTTCCATCAGAACGGCGAATTCCAGGTGGAAACGTGTTTGGAGAAGCTGTGGAACAATAGTTTTCTTTTTCTTTTTCTTTTTGGAAGTACGACCAGGTCTGGGCCTTCAGCGCGTCCTCAAGGAAGACTTCGCTTTTGTTTCGTGTTCTGTCAACCATTTCTTCTTTTTTCAAAGAAGTATTTTTGGTACAAAATGAAATAAAAGGAAAAAAAGAGCTGTCCGAGGCATCTGGGGAAAAGCCACGGCATTGGATACCACGGTACAAGACAGTTTATCGAGATCCAATTCATTCTAGAAGGACTTTTTTAAAAACAAAAGAAATATATCTATAAATGATGACTGAATACTGTGCTTTGTAATCTCCAAGGGGCATAACTCTTTTCACTGTGAGGTTTCTGATACAACTAGCTGCTTTCTTGCCAAACTAAACAGCTCAAAAGCATGTCTGATTGTGGTATCTTCTCTACGATTTTTGTTTGTTTGTTCGATTCCCTGAAGTTGTTTGGGTATTTTGTATCACCTCTGTATCCATTTTTTAAAATTCATATTCTGGTTGTTTTTCCTATATCTATTTGATTATGATTCCATTCCGGAGAGGGAACAAAGACCTGAATTGAGACATTTGGTACTAACCGATCAACTGCAGTCAGTGACGTATGATCAGATCAACAATATTCCCTCCACCGCTTGTTCTGCTTCATTGTAGTGAACATCTCTTTTAAGGAAAAAGCCACTTGGTAAAATACATATCTAAACCGTAAACTTCAAATTCATTAGGTTAACAGTTGCTAGCCAGCTAATTAATAACATAGAAGACTTCCCGTACACTGCAGTGCGAATTGCAGTGCATTTGCCTTAATTGAACAAATTCAGCATATGATAACAGTGCCTCTTTGTATCACAGTGTACAATGCGATTCATCCGGTGGATGCAACATTCGTTAACTCGTTCACCTCCTTCAGCGACTTGCATGACGGCCAAAGCACTGTTATGTGTTCTTCACTTATTGAAAACTTGCTTTGATCGAAGTTTGGTCATTGCATGTCAGTTGATCACGTTCGTACCAAAGGCAGGGTGCCCTGTTGTTCCGTCCAGTATGTGCAATAACAGCGTACACGAGTGGAGATTCAGCGTGAGTGAAGCAAACACAGTACCTGATGTACTGCGGACAAGCAGGAGTGTATTGTAGTACTGCTGACTCTCACACTTGGGCCTCGATCTCGATCAGGGCTGAACACCTCCTGATTGTCTCGGTTTTCGTTTACCTTTTCGTTCGTTTGTTTCATTCTTGTTTTTACTTTAGTCGAAGGATTAGAAAAGGGACGAGCTTTTCAACTTTGAGAAAAGACTCATGAATATAGACAAACTTTCCCCCTCTAAAAATAAAAAAAAATTCTGTTTTATTTGGTTTTTGTGATTGCTTTTTATTGGGGTTTTGTTTAAATTGCTTTAAAATTTTTAGTTTTGTATATATTAGGCATTGTGTTTGCATCACCATAAACATTATGCATCATTTAAAGGTTTTTTTTGCTTCAGAATATTGATACATTGTAGATTTCACCTGTTTTAATCACCAGATTTTAATTTATTTACAATTACTGATTATCACGTCTATAATCAAACTAGTATCACTTTTTTTTTTTTACATCTTAACAATGTGAACTGATTATTTCTGCTTTTCAAAACTCTAGAGTTGCGTGTAAATCAAGATGCCTTGCTCGGTAAATATTTTATGCATATGGTGAGCTGTAATTCAAATACTATTGTCAAGGTAACTTATCATGGTCCTAGATCATCATTTCATCCTGTTGTAGTGCACTGGGGCCTCGATCTCGATCAGGGCTGAACACCTCCTGATTGTCTCGGTTTTCGTTTACCTTTTCGTTCGTTCGTTTCATTCTTGTTTTTACTTTAGTCGAAGGATTAGAAAAGGGACGAGCTTTTCAACTTTGAGAAAAGACTCATGAATATAGACAAACTTTCCCCCTCTAAAAATAAAAAAAAAATTCTGTTTTATTTGGTTTTTGTGATTGCTTTTTATTGGGGTTTTGTTTAAATTGCTTTAAAATTTTTAGTTTTGTATATATTAGGCATTGTGTTTGCATCACCATAAACATTATGCATCATTTAAAGGTTTTTTTTGCTTCAGAATATTGATACATTGTAGATTTCACCTGTTTTAATCACCAGATTTTAATTTATTTACAATTACTGATTATCACGTCTATAATCAAACTAGTATCACTTTTTTTTTTTTACATCTTAACAATGTGAACTGATTATTTCTGCTTTTCAAAACTCTAGAGTTGCGTGTAAATCAAGATGCCTTGCTCGGTAAATATTTTATGCATATGGTGAGCTGTAATTCAAATACTATTGTCAAGGTAACTTATCATGGTCCTAGATCATCATTTCATCCTGTTGTAGTCAGTTTTTGAAACTAACGGAAGAGGAATCAGAACATTGTGGTCTACTAAAACTCATGGTCAAGTTTATTCATAAATGGTTCATTGTTTTATTATTACTGGACTTAGCCACCATAATGCAGGTATATGCAAAGAACAACATTTAGCACATACAGACTGGGACTAAATTTATTGCACCAAATTCTATAGCCAATATGGCACGGTCATAGATGTGCAGTGGATACGTTACACTTGCATTAGTGCGAGTTGTGTGTCCTTTGCACCTCCTGTTCTGCAAAGCGAAGTGACACAGTGTTGCAGTATTATGGGACTGTGATCATCATGTGAACATACTGTCTTACAGTTTCACGGAGCAGGAATCAAAACAAGCTGAAGTCTGGGCAGGTCTTTGACATCTCATTCACAAACCTGAGACAATAAGTGAAATATGCATTATTAAAGCAGTATCCATTAATTGTCGGTTGACACACATTGGCCTACATAGCTTAAGATTCTTCATACTTTGTCATTTGGCTGTTTTTGCGTGGGAAGCGACGGGTTTGAGTCCAAGGCTCCTGGTTCTTCAGGCCATCGGTGGAAACCCACCAGCCGTACTGCTGGTTGTCCGTCACAGCTACACGATACAGTTCTTTAGGAGCTAAAAAGAGAAACACAAGATCTCATCAATGTCACACTGACCACCAAGAAAAGCATCCAATTAATGTAGCTTTAAGAAAGTATTAAGACTCATTCATAAAAATAAAAAAATCCACACTCCTTATGAATAATCTGAATATATCACTTTCTCCATTTTGAACGACCTGAACACACACACACACACACACACACACACACACACACACCTCTCTTTAGTATGTAACACATTCAGTAAGTGGGTGTTTGATGGATTTAGTGTGAACTTACACCTCTGAACGCGTCTGCTGAAGTCCTGATATCTGCTCTGGCTGCCGAGATGCAGGTTTGAGGAGTCTGAAAGGAAAAAAACTAACATGTTGGACCCCACTACTGTACGTTAGGT